ACCGGGGGCCCCAGGGAGTTGTCCCCTGGGCAGGGGGCTGCGGGGCAGCAGGAGGGGCCACGGGACGAGCAATAGGGATAAGGGGTGTCCAGCCATTAGAGAAGCTGCCCCCCCCCAGTCCAGTAGCAATGAGGCCCCCGTGGCTTCGGGGTGGGAGGGCACTGGGGCTCGGGGCTGCGGCGTGGGGAGCCCTGGGGGTTGGGGGAGGGAATGACTCAGCCCCTCTGTCCCCACAGGAGTCAGGCGATGACGAGTACAGGGGTGACCAGTCGGACAGCGACGACGAGGTGGACTCGGACTTCGACATCGATGAGGGCGAAGAACCCGCCAGCGACCAGGACGAAAGCGAGCCTAAGCGCCGCCGCCGCATTGTCACCAAGGCTTACCGGGTACAGGCAGGGGGCTCCGGGTCCCCTTCCCAGCACTGTGGGCAGGGGACGGGCTCCTCATTAGGAAAAACTGAGGTTTAAATGAGGCCGAAGCCATGGCCTGGGGGATTTTTTCTCCCTCCTCATGTTCTCCGCCCCATCCCTTAGGAGCCCCTCAAGAGCCTTCGTCCCAAAAAGACGGACATCCCCAGCGGCAGCTCCCAGAAGCCACGAGAGGTGAAATCCATCCCCTTGGAGCTCCAGGATGACGTGGGAGACAGTGAGTGCAGGCAGGGCGGGACGGGACAGGCTGGAAATGGGCCCCCTCCAGGAGAGCTCCTGGTGACCCGGGCCAGCCAGTGCCTGCCGGTGAGCCCCATCGTCCTGCCACAGGCCGGAAGCACATGCGACAGTCAACGACGGAGCACACGCGCCAAACCTTCTTGCGCATCCAGGAGCGGCAGGTCCAGTCCAAGCGTAAGAAGGGTGGCCCCAACTACGACCGGCCTCTGACGCAGGAGGAGCTGCTGGAGGAGGCCAAGATCACAGAGGAGATCAATCTCCGCTCCCTGGGTGAGCCGAGCGCTGTGCCAAGGGGTGCAGGGACCCCCAAAATGGCACAGGGAGAGGGGGTGAGGGTGTCAGTGAGGTGCTGAGCCTCTCCCTTGATTTGTTGCCACTTTCACAGAGAACTACGAGCGCCTGGAAGCTGACAAGAAGAAGCAGGTCCAGAAGAAGCGGAAGTGCGTGGGGCCCGTTATCCGGTACTGGTCCGTCACCATGCCCCTCATCCCAGAGCCGGGCAAGGAGGAGAATGTAGATGTGGAAGGGTAGGTTGGGGTCACCTGAACATGGCCGCAATGGATTTTTTTGTGCCCCACCACACCCAGCCACACCCTGGCTCCTGCTGCTGATCCCTCCCTGGGCTCTGTTCCATCATGGTGAGGGAAAAGTGGGTTTTGGGCAGCACCTTAGAGCCCTGCAAGCCCCATGCTCCAGTCCTAGGGGCTGGCTTGAGCAGATTTGGCAGCTCTGCCCACTATGGGAGCTCTCCCAGGGTTTCTCCCCACCCCAGGGGTCTCCTGGGTACTGACTGTGGCTCTTGCAGGTTGGACCAAGACCCGCAGCAGGCCGAAGCAACTTCAGCCCCAGCTCCAGCTTCTGCCGGGAAGTGCTCCCGCACTTTCATCTCTTTCAGCGATGACGAAACCTTCGAGCGCTTCTTCCCCAAAGTGAAACCACCGCGGCTGCCAGTGCGGGAGATCTGCCCCGTCACCCACAAACCAGCTGTTTACCGTGACCCCATCACTGACATCCCCTACTCCAACATCCGTGCTTTCAAAATCATCCGGGAGGCCTACAAGAAATACATCACAGCACACGGGCTGCCCAGCGCCGCTGCCTCCGCCGCCCTAGGGGCCACCGCTCCCCCTGGTCCTGACCCCAACGTCCGTCCCACCCGCCAGAAGATCATCATCAAGCAGAGCGTCCCCACAACCTGAGCACCAGGGGTCCATGGGGGGCTCATGGCCGCTCCAGGTTGAGGCCTCTCCTTGCTCTGACTCTCGTGGGCAACGGTTCATTGCTCTATTTATCTCATTCCTACTTTTTTTTATATAAAAATGAAATAAATCTGAGTAGCCTGCATACAGCAAGGGTGCGGACTCTTATTTCCATTCATCGTGCAGTGCCTGCAACACCAGGAGACCCTACAGTAAACACAGGGTGCATACCACCCCTTGTTTTCCGAGACCCTACAATAAACAAGCAGTTCATCCCTGGTGCTGCTGCTCACAGTCCCGCACTGCCACAGGAGCCCTGATGACGGCGGCCTCACACACCCACCCCCAAATGCAATTTTGGGGGCTGGGGGGCACTTGAGAGCAGAGTCACCTAGACAGTCTTGGGGTGAAGGGGCATAAAATGTCCCTGGGAGGGGGCTCGGGGGTCTCCGAGGGTCTGCAGGGCCCCAGGCACAAGGTTCAGCCTCTCCCTGTGGCTGCTCCTCCTAGCCTCCCCATTCCCCCCTGGCCAGGGCACCCCAAGAGGTAATGGGGAGCAACCGGCTCACGAGGGCCACCCCCCCCATTGCCCAGGGGTGCCCCTGCCATGCCAGGGCGTTGGGGTGGAGCCGGCAGAGGGCTGGCAGGGCTCGATAACGCCTGGGGATATGTGATCTCGCCCCTCCCCGCCGCCGGCTCGCAGAATAAAACGCTGATCTCATGCCCTGCACGGCTGGAGCCCTTGGCTCAGCACCGGGGCTCACACCCAGGCAGGCTCCACCACCCCAGTCAGCGGCCAGGTAGGGCCTCAGAGTGGGGGTCCCAAGGGTGGGGTTCCCCAGGGTGGTGGGGGGCACATCACCCCCATGGACGCTGACTCTGGGGTCCCTGGGTGGTATTGGGGATCCTCTTTCCAAGGGATCCCCCACCCTGCAGCCCCCTGGCTCTCACCCATGGGTGTCTGGTCCCTCTCAGGGGGGAGCAGGTGCGCGTGTGTGTGTGTGTGTGTGTGTGTGTGTGTCTCCTCCCCCAGCCCTGGGGACACAGGTGTTGGGGGGCAAATCCCAACCTGGTTCCTCAGGGGGGACCCAACCCCGGTGTCAGGGGACTCATGTCCCCAGCGTTTACCCCTGCTTCCCCCCCCAGGGAAGTGGGGTTCTGTGCTGGGGGGCAAAGGGGCACTGGGGGGGGTCCAGGGGGGCTGGGGCTGCTGGACTGGGACCTTCCCCCCAAGAAGTGGGGGAGTCTAGGGGGGATACTGGGTCCTGGCCCTGGGGAGCACCTCGGAGCTAGGATTTAGTTTCCCCAAGAGCTCCCCAACCACACCGCCTTGGACCCCCACCCTGTGGTGCCCCACGGCCCCCCCAGCCCAGTGGGAACTCAATACCACCCATAGCATGAAGGTACCCTGCAGGTTGTGGCATGGAGGGGATCGCCGTGGTGTGTGGGGGTCCCCTTGCAGTGCAGGGCATCCCCCCACCCTAGGGAGCCTCTTGCCAGCTGCTCAGCCCCCCTGTCCTCCCCCCCCAGGCCACCTCCTGGTCCCTCACCATGACGTCCTACCGGCAGGAGCTGGAGAAGTACCGGGACATTGACGAGGACAAGATCCTGCAGGAGCTGTCAGCTGAGGAGCTGGCACAGCTGGACTTGGAGCTGCTGGAGATGGACCCCGAGGTGGGTCCCGGTGTGGGGGGGTGACGAGTGGGATGGGTGACACCCGGCCATCGGGGTCCCCCATGGGTGACATGGTGGGTCCCCAGAACATGCTGCTGCCGGCGGGGCTGCGGCAGCGGGACCAGACACAAAAGAGCCCGACGGGGCCGCTGGACCGGGAGGCCCTGCTGCAGCACCTGGAGAAGCAGGCGCTGGAGGCCGGCGAGCGTGACGACCTGGTGCCCTTCACCGGCGAGAAGAAAGGTTCGGGGACCCGGGGGGGACACACACACACCCCCACACACCACACAGCGGGGACGAGGGGGGACAGGGCCGCGCAGCGCCGGGTATATTTAGCTCAGCAGAACGGTCCTCGCCAGCAGCTCGGGTGTCCCGGGCGAGCTGGGTCCCCGCCAGCCCCGGGCACAGCCACCCCCTGGCAATGTCACCCCCCATATGGCCACCCCTGCAATGTCACCCCCAGTACAGCCACCCCTGGCAATGCCACCCCCCCATATGGCCATCCCCCGTAACATCACCCCCCCAGTACGGTCGCACAACCCCCCCCAGACTGTCACCCCCAGGCACAGTCACCCCTAGGGAGGTCACCCTCCGGCAGCAGCCGCATCCCCACGCGCCCCTTCCAGCCCTGTCCCCAGACCACCACGTCCGGTGTCACCCGGCTGGTGCGAGGCTGTGCAGGGTGTGACCCGCGTCCCCATGCCCAGGGAAGCCCTTTGTGCCCAAGAACCCAACACGGGAGATCCCGCGGGAGGAGCAGATCACGCTGGAGCCCGAGCTGGAAGAGGCGCTGGCCAACGCCACTGAAGCCGAGATGTGCGACATTGCCGGTGGGTCTTGCACGGGGCAGCCGCATTGCACCGCAACCTTGCATGAGGCTGCTGCATCGCACCGTGGCCTCGCATGGGGCCTCGCGCAAGGCTGCTGCGTCACACTGGAGCCTCGTGCAGGGCCGCTGCATCGCACGACAACCTTGCACAAGGCTGCCCCACAACATCGCATGGGGACAGTGTGTCCCACAGCGGCTTCACATGGGGGCAGCACATGGCACCGCACCGTTGCGCTGGGAGGGAGCACATTGCACAGGGAGGGAGCACGTTGCATAAGGATAAGCGTTGTATGGGGGGAAACGTTGCACGCGGCCAGTGTGTTGCACGCCTGCTGCAGCCCCGTGTTACACCCATGCCTCCTGCTGCCAGGCGTGTGCTGCCCCCCCCGCCCTGGGTCCCCGCCAGGGTCCAGCTAAAAGCAGCACCGTGCCCCCATGCTCAGCTTTCACAGCTGGCCCCCAGCCCACCCGCTCCCCACGGTTTCCCCAGCCCACCTTGAGCAGGGCTGGGGGGGCTGTGGCCACCCTCGGGGGGACACAAAGGGACCGGGGGGGGGTCCTGGGGCACCTGCTGACCCCCACTTCCCCGGTCCCACAGCCATCCTGGGCATGTACACGCTGATGAGCAACAAACAGTACTACGATGCGATCTGCAGTGGGACCATCTCCAACACAGAGGGCATCAACAGTGAGTGACCTGGGGACACGGGAACAGGGGACACGGGGACGAGCTCCCCAGGACAGGGGACACAGGGACCATGGGGCTGTTTGGGGTGGATTTGGGGACCAGAACCCCTCCGGGATCCCCTGTGGCGACCCCACACGTGTGTGCAAACATGTGTGTCCCCACGTGCCCGTGCCCCCATGCGCAGTCACTTGTGTCCCCACACACACGCGTATGCCCCAGGCGTGGTGAAGCCTGACACATACAAGCCGGTGCCGGATGAGCCCCCAAATCCCACCAACGTGGAGGAGACGCTGCAGCAGATCCAGGCCAACAACGGGGCTCTGGAGGACGTCAACCTCAACAACATCAAGGTGAGGGACCTGGTGGCAGTGTCCCCAAGGTGTCCCCAGGGTGCTAATCCCACTCCTGGGGTGACAATCCCCATCCCCATGGGGCTGGTCCCTATCCCAGGGTGTCTCCACGGCACCCCAAGGTGCTGGGGGGCATCACAGTGGGGCTGGTCCCTATCCCAGTGTCCCCAGGACGTCCCCGGGTGCCACACGCTGTCCTGGGGTGTCCCTGTGGGGCTGGTGCCTGTCTTGGGGTATCCCTGGGGTGTTTGTCCCCAACCTGAGTGGCTCTGAGGCACCCCAGGGTGCTGGTCCTCATCTGGCGGCATCCGTGTCCCTTTGGCGACATCCCACATCCCCTCGGTGCCATTTACATCCCTTGGGTGACATCCAGCACCCTCTTGGGGATGCCTCTGTATCTTTGGAGACATCTACACCCCCTCGATGCCACTTACATTCCCTTGGTGACATCCTGCATCCTCAGGGATGTCCCCATCCCCTTGGTGACCCCCACGTCCCCTTGCCATAGGACATTCCCATCGCCACGCTGAAGGCCATCTGCGAGGCCATGAAAACCAACACCCACGTCAAAAAGCTCAGCCTCGTAGCCACCCGCAGCAATGACCCTGTGGCCAGTGTGAGTCCCGACCCCGTCTTCCCCATGTCCCCACACGTCCCCAGACAGGGAGGGGACACGGTCCCCTGCCCCGGCTCCATCCTGGGCACCAGCAAGGCCAGGTGACAGTGGCTTTTCCACCATCAACTGGGGCATCGGTGGCCCAGGATGTGCCAGAGAGGGGGTGCCAGCCCCGGGGGACACCCCGAGGTGACACCCTGAGGTGACACGCAGGCTGTAGCTGAGATGCTGATGGAGAACAAGACCCTGCAGAGCCTCAACATTGAATCCAACTTCATCACCAGCACCGGCATGATGAACATCATCAAGGCCATGTACCACAACACCACCCTGAGCGAGCTCAAGGTAGACAACCAGGTAAGGACGGGCACCCATGGGTGGCCCAGGGAGAGGACATGGGTGTCCCCAACTTCCTGGCCACACCCAGTTTCACCCTGGCCCTGCAGTGCCAGAGGCTGGGCGACACGGTGGAGATGGAGATGGCCACCATGCTGGAGCAGTGCCCCTCCGTCGTGCGCTTCGGCTACCACTTCACGCAGCAAGGCCCCCGCGCCCGCGCTGCCATCGCCATCACCAAAAACAACGAGCTCCGTGAGTGTCCTCCGCATCCCCTCCGGGGCAGGAATCGCAGTGGGGGGTCCCGGCCCTGACCCCCCCATCCTCTCCTCTGCCCCCAGGTCGCAAGCAGAAGAAAACCTAACGACGCCCCCCAAGGCACTAACAAGCTCCGGCTCCTGCTCCCCGGGGCTGCTGTAAATAAAGAGGACGGAGAGATGCGGCTTCAGGACCCGTTTGGATGTGTCTCGGGGAAGGATTTGCGCATGGGGGCCAGAATCAGAATTGTAGGGATGGGCTGAGGGAGTGTAACACTGCTGGGGAGGCAGTGGGGGTTCCCCCACCCTTGCAGGGCTTGAGGCCCCTGTTAGCCTCCAGCCGTTAGTCCATGGGGGCCAAGCCGGATGGCTGGATCCCCTCAGGGAGCAGCAGGGCCGCAGGGTCGGGGTATTTATACCCGGGGGATTGGGTTACAACACTAGGAGGGGTGGGGGGAGCAGGGCAACCCCTTCCGGTGGGCAGCCAGGTGCCCCTGTGGCACAGAGCCGGGCACCCAGGGCCCGTGGGGGCTGGCACCCATAGCCCGGTAAGGCAGGTGGGGGGGACACAGGGCCTATTTATAGGTCCCACCACCTATTTATAGTCACGAGCCAAGTGAGCGGGTAAATCCTGGTGCTCAGGGGTAACATCACACTGGGCAGCACTGCCAGGGAGCCCCCCCAGGGACAGGGTCCAGCCCTGGGGCCCAGAGAGACCCTTGGGTGGGTGGTGGGTGCTGTCCCAGGGGCACGAATACCGGCTCAGGGTGCAGCCCCATAAACAACAGCTCTATGGGTGCCCCCCAATGCGGGAGCACCTGCAGGCACCCAACGGCTGGCAGAAAAAGGGGAGGGGAAACTGAGGCAGGGGGAGGGCAGCACAGCTGGGTGCTTTCTGAAGCACTGGGACAGCTGCCAGGGCTGGGGAGGAGGGGGAGAACCCAGCGCTGCCACCCCGAAAGGCCATGACCTGCAGGCAGCTGCCAGCGTGTGAAAAAATGAGCGTGACTTGGGCCAGGGACAGGAGGGGATAAGGTGGGGATGGGCCGAAGCCCACGTCGAGATTGGCAGCACTTGCATGGCTCTGGCCAGGATAGAGACACCCCAAAAAGGCAGCAGGTTGAGCACCCCATGGCAGCAGAACACTAGGACCCCCAATATCACCACTCCCCAGGACCTGCCACAATGGCTCAGACACCTCAGACCTCTCCAGCTGCCTCTATTAACGGTGGGGCTTGGGGACAGCCTGAGGGGACTGTCCCCATGGGGACCGGTGGGGCAGAGGGGGGCCTCAGGCTGGCAGCAGTACAGGTGGCTCATCTTCGTCAGAGTCGAATTCAGCGTTCTCGTCCTTCACCCACTTGCCGGAGCGGTCCTGGATCCAGCCGGCACTGGGGACGGACAGACAGACAGAGGGAGGGAGTGAGAGGCAGCTCGTTACAGGGTTCCCCGCGCCAACAAGGCCTGAGACTCACCTCCGCAGCTGTAGGTATCGCTCCAGGGCCTGGCGCCTCTCAGGGCTGAGGGCTTCGGGCTGGCTCAGGGCCAACGATGAAGCTTTTCCTTTGCCTCCTCGCTGCGTCTGGGCCGGAGCTGCCTTCGGTGTGTCTGGGAGGGCAGAGAGGGGCTGTCGAGACCCGCAGGAATGGGAGAGGCCCGGCTGAGAGCCCGGGTGCCCTGCCCTGCTGGTGCTGGCACAGCCCTGGAGCTGCCAGCTGGCCCTTACCCACTCGCCCACTGCGGTGCCCCAGCAGCAGGGCTGCAGGGCTGGCATCCACAGCTTCTCCATCCTTCTGCGATGGCAGCGTCGGGGCGGCACTCAGCCCTGTCTGGGTCATGCCAGCTCGCGAGCTGCTTCCCTCCACCCTGCGATGGCAGGAGGAGTCAGGGCCTTATCCCACAAATGCCCAATGGTGGTGAGGCCACAGTGCTGCCGGTCCCTCCTGGAAAGCCCAGAGCTTTCTCTTGTCCTCCAGCAGCGAAACCAAAGGTCTTACCCCGTCCTCCGGCAGCAGCTGCTGTAGGGAGCTGCTTTCAGCAGAGCATTCCGGGCAATCCTCCTCGTCCGTGCCAGAAGAGGTGCTGGGGAGCCCTGGGGAGAGGGGACAGAGCTCAGGGGGGCATGGGCAGGGGGTCCAGTGGGGTGAGGAAGAGGCATCCGCACCAACCTGCATGCCTGTCTCCTCTGCCTGCACCTCCTCCTCATGCTGCCGCTTCTGGGCCACGTCCTGGAGCGAGCGCTTCCTGCCGTAGAAGCGCTGCAGGCCTGGAAGAAAGCAAAGGGGATGGGGGGACGCACTCGCTGGGCACAGCCCACCCCACTGCCAGCCTCCCACTTACTGCCCATGTGCTTCTTGCCAGCCCTGTGGACCGTCAGCACATCCAGCGTGTCAAAGATGGGGCGGTGGGCACACACCGTGCAGGCGTACCTATGCCGAGAGGGAAGGAAAAAGGTGCCATCAGGACCCCACAAGCAGCTGGAGAGGGGGCTGCTCTTGGGGCTCTTGCTCACCTCCCGCTCCTCAGCAGCAGTGCCTCATCCTCAGGGATGTAGTTGGCCAACAGGTCCGCGACGCGTCTTTTCTGGGAGAGACCAAGGGGGCTGGGTGAGCACTCGTCCCCCCGAGCCTGCTGCTGGGGGGGGAATCTGCCCCCAGTTCGCTCCACAGGGAACCAGTCCTTGCCCCCAGCCCTGTTCCCCCTTAGGCCAGGAAACCTGGACACCCTGGTGACCCCCCCCTCTGTGGGAGCAAGGCGGGGGACAGGTGGGGGAATTGGGGTGTCAAGGCTGGGGAGGGGGCGGTTTGGGGGATTGCACAGGTTGAGGCAGGGGAAGGGGGTCATTTCGGTGTGCGGCCTGGGCCAAGGCGGGTATTTGGGGCGATGGGAGAGGAACCCTGGGGGGGCGTCAAGACACCGCAGGGGTGAGGGGGAATTGGGGGGGCAGAGAAGCATTTGCAGGCAGGGACGACGGCGGGAAGGAACGGTGTTTACGGGCAGGGAGGAGCGGGGAAGGGCTGGGGGGAACCGGGCTGGGGGGGCAGGCCGGGGCAAGGCGGCGAACCCGGAGGGGGTCTGGGGGACTCGAGGAGAGTCTGGGGGATCCTGGGGTGGGTCGTGGAGGGGCCGAGACCCACCTGCAACACCCCCAGCTGACCGGGGTCGTCCCCCTCCCGCTTGAAGGACATGACGGCCCCGGCGCCGGCCCGCGGTTACTATGGGAACCACCCTCCTACCGCCCAGCTTCCGGGTGGCTTTTCCCGGCGGGCTGCGCGCGGGAACGAAGACCAATTAGAGAGTGCGAGGGGCGGGGCGGGAGGGCCTGCCGTGCCCCCAGGATGCGGAGGCCCCGCGGCATGACGGGAGTTGTAGTTCCGTGGTGCCGTCCCTGGCGGGGGGAGGGGCAGAGAGCCCCCCTGGGGGGAGGGATGGAGGGGG